CATCTGCATATTTATGTTTCGCTTTAGGTTGTGCTTGACGCACTTTTGTCTTGTTCTTGATTTGGCTTGTTGGATGCTTGTGTTGGCCTTTCGTCTGTCATCTTGTATCATCTGGTCATTACGCTTGTTCTTCACTTTACCTGTTCTTATGTTTTTTTGAAACACTAACACACTTGTTAGAGATAACAACATGTATTACATTTGTCTCATTCAAAACCTTGCTGGGAATTGTTTCGTCTTCATTTGACCTAACAATTGGGTTCACCAAACATACAAAAAATGGTTTATATGGGTTATCGCTTATCTTCATGACAAATCTTTTGTTGGTATAAGGATTACTTCTTTATGTGAAGGAATCAACTCATCCATAAAGTTTTATTTGAGGAGAAAAATACTATAGTTGAGTTGATGTACAATTTTTAACATTCTTTAAAAGATTATAAGTATAATGAGTTGGTGTCTAATTTCAATTCTTTTCATACGAAACCTGTTTTGTCTACTGCTTTGCCCAAAATTGAAAAAAAGACCTAAAAAATATTCATCAGGGATGTCTTTAAATTGGTAAAGGCAAAGATTTTAACTACTATATCTTTCAATGTGTTTAATAGAAATGAAATTGGTGACAAGGTGACATTCAAAGTTGACAATTATAGTCATCGTCGATCTAAATACGACGTTGTTTTTGAAAAAGATGAGTGTAAATATGAATGTGACTATATGATTTTTGAATCTTCTAACATTCCATGTAGTCATATAATGTGTTATGCAATACGAGCATATGCATTTCTTCCCTCCAATTTTAATATACAGTTAATGATTGAAGGATGCTAAGAATTCATTTGTTGGTCAGTTTGCATCCAAAAGTCGTCAAAGTTTTGATTTCATAAGGAATAAAATTTTGAGGCTTACTGGTAAGTTTAAAAAAAGAGTTGGTTTGCACCTAAATGGAACTGTTAGTGTTTTTAATGATCCCCTTGTTGTGAAGACAAAAGGTGTCTCATCAAAGAAAAATAACAAGAAGAAGAGTAGGAAATGTTTTAATTGTAATTCAATTGGTTATGAAGCTTCAACATGTCCTGCTATCCATTCCATTAATTTTGACCTTAGTTCAAGTTTTGATTTTGAACTTATAAAGGTGGGTGTTACAAATAGTCAACCAAGAAGTGTAAGTTTCTTTTAATATACAATTACTTTTTTTAGTTAATTTATCGATTTTTATTTTTATTGTAGGAAAATTGTACATCTTCTTATGTGAAAGTAACAAACAGGTTGCTAGTAATGGTCTAATTTGAATAGACAAATTTGTGAAGGTAATTTATTTTTATTTGATTAGAAAAAAACTTTAATGGTAATGAGTTTGTATTTTGTAAATTAATTTGTTGAACTAGTTTTGAATGTACAACATAAACAAATGAAAGATGATTTAAGTAGTACATCATCAAAAGATAAGAAACAAAGGTGTTCACAACCCAATTTGAAGTAGGAGAATTTTGTAAGTGGTTATTTATTTGAAATATATGTCTATTAATTTTTTTATTTGCATTTGTAAGTTATTCTTTTGTTTTTTATTATAATTATTTTTTCTTTTTAGAATTTGAAAACAAAGGTTACTAACTATAATGTAAAAGATGGTAGAAAGAATAATGTTAAAAATTTGAAAGATAAAGTAAGTTGTTCTAACGTAGTCAAAGATGGTAACATGGAGGTTTCAACTCATAAAACAAACAACTAGCTTGTGAATATAATTTTTTTATACGGATCAACTTATGATCAAATTTTATTTTAAATCATTATAAATAATGATTTTTTTTAAAAAATTATGAAGTAAAACATTATAAAAAATGAGGTTGTGGATGATGTTCAACAAATAGATTTAAGAGGACTTGTGTTTCCCCCTGTATCAAGTCAAGCAATGCATTTGTCACATAATTATACTCAATTGTCCATTTTTCCACAAACAAATTTCATGCCTATTAATGGGGCTAGTTATTTTATTCCCATAACACACACACACACACAACATGCATGGGGAATCTCACCGGTCAGATTTACTTCAAAATATTATGAAAGGTGTCACTATCGAAAAAAGTAAATTTAATTCAACCTCTTGTATATTAGCAAGCAATCTTTTGCAATTATGCTTGATATATTTTTTTTTGTAGGTGAAAAATCAAGTTAAATATGATTGGGCTTTTAATTTGGATTCTATAAACTTGCAAAAGTAGTGTTTTTTTTTGTTATTTGTGGATTGTAAAAACTTTGTCGCAATGAGATATGTGGCATATGACATTATTTTTTAAATAGGATTGGGTTTTTTGTTTTGATTGAAAAAATGAAATAGTTCAAATATGTTTTCATTTTACTTTTATTGTCATAAATATGATGATAGACATTTATTTTGATGATACTCAGCCAAAAAAATATATGTTTAGATTATACATTAACTTATAAATTATAATTGTTTAGAATTTTATGATGGGAATTTTATTATAAGAATTTGTTGATTGTTTATTGTCTTTAAAATATAATTGAGTTTACTGGGTTTTTAATATATAATTAAACTATAATTTGTCCTTTATTATAAGAATCTACTGATTGATCAAGGAGATTACTTATCATTTTTTGTACAAAAAGGGAGGGATTATTGTGTGTGCAATCAAAAATAACTTTTTAGGTGACTTTGCAAACTTCGAGATATCTACTTGTCCTTTTCTTTAAGGAAACAAAAGTCCTTGTTCCTTTATAAAATTCAAGTACCAAAGAAACTTTTATTTCTTCAATCTATTAATGAGTATCATAGAAATAAGTGATATGGTCATCAAACATACTAAATGTAATATTTAATGCATCCGTCTTACACAAATGAAGTGTTCTGTCTGAGAGACTTATCAAAATACATATCATCATAATGAATCGTTTTATGTTATCGTCTTGATTTTGTGATCTTAAAAACATTTTTTATAAAAAAATATTTGAGTTTGTTATCATTAAAACATATTCTTATGGGATTTGATATCGCCCTTTGATCTAATAAGTTGAAATCAGGGGAAAGGGTCACACTTTCTCAAGGTGTGCACTTGGTCAAGGTATGGACTTGAATTATTATTCTGGTTGATATTTAGATGTTTCAGTGCTTTAAAGGAAAGAGTTAACAATCAAGATCAATCATTTTCCTATTTTTATTTATTAGCATTAATGACCTTGAAATGATTAGTTTGAAAATTTTCAAATGAATTTGGGGATAATACACATAAATGATTAAATTGGTTTCTATTTAAGGTATTCATTGCTTGAATTACCATTGGAATGTGCTTAAAGTAGGAATTTTTTGTAATGTAGCTTTGAAAGTCTTGCACAGAAAATCCAAATATGAACATAGTTGTTGACTTGATTTATGTTAAAGTTCTAAACATAAAATGTTTGAATTATGATTGCTTTACCATTAAAGGGTGATGAAAATAGGAAGAGCATGAGGAAAATAAGATGCTAAAGGTGTTTTGATGTTTTGTGTTAGCTTTTATGAATTTTTTCATAATTTTTTTATGACATTTAAAGAACCTATCTAAATTTTGTAGTACCTGATATCTAGGTGCAAGATTATATTGGAAATATTAGGTGTGCATAGTAGATTCAAAAGTTAGCAAATCTTAAACAATAGAATCCTCAAAGTTGAAGATTGATGAAAGAGATGAAGAACTATAAAGGCTCCCACACCAATTCGTTATTCAAGCTACAAAGGTGCACATTATTGTGTAAGACCTAATTTAAGAAATAAGTCATTAACATATTACTTTAACTATGTCCTAGAGATTCATCAATGAAACAAACTCATTCTTTATTTTTTTTTTCTCATTTTGTAGGACTTCACATTTGAACTTAAAAGGTCAAGAATAGGAGTCTTTTATTTTTGGACTTAAGAAAGTGGAGCAGGAAGTTGCAACCATTTTCTCATTTGATTTAACTAAAAATTTGTATTTGAAGTTCTTTAGCTTTAATTGATAATTTTTCTGTGTTACTTTTGTAGAAGTTGTAAAATGTAGCTACTAAGAGCTAGTGGTTTCATTAGCTAAGCAATGTTTAGATAGTTTTGATGTTTTAATACAAATGCAAATTAGTTATATATCCAAAAATAATTAGGTCCCTAACCGCTACTTCTAAGAGATCTTTTTGTTCTATATAAAAATGGTAAATAGTTTCATTTAATAATGTAATTTGTCATAAAGGATACGTCGTGCATGTAATCATGAAATTGGTCCCAATCAACAACTTTGATGCTTGGCTCCACTAGACGCCTAGCTTGAAGTATGCATTGATACAATTTGGGAATTGTGATTAGGGATGGAAAAAATACCCGTACTCGCAGGTATCTACGGGTAAAATCTGCTATGGATAATAAATAGATAGACTAATTGGATACCCGCGAATAATGGAGACTGTTCCTGTCGAGAACACTCTTGTACTTCCTGTTGGCTAATCTTCTAAGTCCCGCGTACTAGCCGAATCCTATCTCTGGATGGTGGGGGAGGGTACCTGCAAAGGCACTCCAATGCTTAATGTATGGGTAGGGGCGTTCGGCCACCTCTGGTCGGTCGCCGAATGGCAGTACTTGGTGGCCGAACGGCAATCGGCCACCAGGACCGAACTATCATCACTCATTGCTCTTAACCCATGATTAGGGGTTAATCAGATGATTAAGGTGTATTACCTGATACGATAAATACGTTGCAGGGCCCATGGGGTCCAGGGCCCATAAATGTCAGTATAAATAGCTCAGGTCAAAAGGTAACGTCACTGTTCATTAATTATCCTAGATATCTGTGCTTGTCCTGACTTGAGCGTTGGAGTGCCTTTTGTAGGTACCAACCCCTCTATTCACATCGGATCGGAGCACTCGTTCGGCCTTCAAACTACGAGAAGATCATTGGTGTATCCCCTTTGTAGGTACATTTGGCGCCCACCGTGGGGCCGAACGAAGGCAATTGGAAGTTTAACTAAGTGTAATGGCGATAACTAGGAGAACAAACACTCAGGACCATCAAAATGAGGAACATGTGGAGGTTGTTGATGAAACAGATCTTTCCGAAACGGTTCGATTGTTGAAACAGGAAATGGAGTTGATGAAACAGCAGCGAGAGAGAGATGCAAGAGAGCTTTCGGCCTTAAGAGCCGAAAACGAGGTGTTGAAAAGTCAAGACACTTCCTGGAAACCTACTCATGTCACCAACACACAAACTCAGGGATCGTATCAATCCCATGCAGTCCACACCTCAGCTCCACATGCCTCGGCAGTGGCACCTGGAAAACCCCTCTCGGCCTTACACACCGTTGGCCGTCCTGCAGACTTGACAACTATTGGATCGCACCGACACCCCTTCACTCCTACTATCATGCAACTTCTGTTGATGGATAACTGGAAATCCTTGTCTATTGATAAATATGATGGTACCACTGATCCTGACGAACATCTTGATGTTTTCTTGACACAGGTGACATTGAGCACAACTGACGATGCTGCCTTATGTCGGATTTTTCCCACGTCACTTAAAGGAAGGGCATTGAGTTGGTTTACTCGGCTCCCTCCCAATTCCATCGATTCCTTCAGCACTTTGTCATCTCAGTTCACCATTCAATTCGCAACGAGTCGCCCTCATAGTCTGACGTCCCTATCTCTAGTCGGCCTTCGCCAAGACAAGAAGGAATCTCTTCGGACCTTTATGGATCGGTTCAACAAAGCAACTTTGGAGATTAGAGACCTTAACCCAGCCGTCGCACTGCATCATCTCACAACAGCCTTAAAACCGGGGCCGTTTGTCAATAGTATTTGTAAAAAGCCACCTTCGGACATGAATGATCTAAGAAGACGGGCTGACAAATACATGCAGATGGAAGAGTTGGCAGAGTATCGTAATCAGGCTCGAGCTGAATCGTCGAGCAAGATAGAAAAGCAGGCAGAACAACCATACAGGGGGCGAGGCAAGGAGATATCTCTTCGGGATCGGCCTAATCGGGATCCGAAGTACACTCAATACACTCCACTCAATACCAGCCGTGCTGCGGTGCTTGAACAAGCTCTAGTTTCAGAAGTGTTGACAATTCCGAAAAGAGCATCCACTCCGCCACGAGCGGATACTAGTAAATCTTGTCGGTATCATTACAATCGTGGACATTCCACTGACGAATGTGCAACCCTTAAAGACAAAATTGAAGATTTGATTAAGCAAGGCAAATTGCATAACTGTGTGGATCGGTCGGGGTCGTCTCAAACTCGCTCATATCAACCTAGATATCAGGATCGACGTAGGCAGGACCGTTCCGATAGAGCCTCACGAGAAAGAAGTCGGTCACGTGAAAGAAGCAGGTCGCGTGAAAGAAAAGATACTTCGGCACCATCGCATAGGAGGGTGATTAATACCATTGCAGGAGGGTTTGCTGGTGGAGGCTCAACTTCTTCGGCTCAAAAGAGGCATCTCAGAGCAATTCGATCGGTCAACACTGTTCATAGACAGTCTTCTCGGAAGTTACCAGCAATAACCTTCACTGATGCTGATTTCAAAGGCATTGATCCCGAGCAAGACGACCCGATGGTTATTAGTGTGGAAATTCATAATTGCCTTGTCAAGAAAACATTGATCGATCAAGGCAGTTCGGCTGATATATTATATTGGAATACATTCAAACAGTTGGGTATTTCTGAAAAAGAATTGCTCCCTTATGATGATCCATTGGTCGGTTTTGCAGGAGAAAGAGTAAGTACCAGGGGTTATATTAAACTCTTCACGCGTTTTGGTTTTGATGAGCAGGAAAGCAGAGAAATTCAAGTGAAGTATATTGTGGTTGATGCTAGCACTTCGTATAATATCCTCCTCGGTAGGCCATCCTTGAATGCATTAGGGGCTATCGTTTCAACACCACACCTAGCGATGAAGTTTCCATCCGATAAAGGGAAAATCATCACAATTCACGCCGATTGTAACGACCCGCCATCGTCTCTACACTTACTGGAATCGCACTACTACTAGTGAAC